AGAGATGCAAGGATGGTCTAACATTCACAAATTAATGAATATAATTCATCACATAAACAGAATTAAGGAAAAAAATAACTTAGTTATCTCAATAGATGCAGAGAAGTCCTTCAACAAAAGTCAGCACTCATTTATGATAAAAACATTGAAGAAACTAGGAATAGAAGAAACCTTGACATTATTAAGGCTATATATGAAAAACCCAAAGACAACCTCATAGTAAATGGGGAAAAACTGAAAGCATTTCCTTTAAATTTGTGGATAAGATGAGACTGTCTACTCTCATCACTTCTATTTAATGCTGTGCTACAATTCTATCCAGAACAATTAGGCAAAAGAAGGATATATAAAGGATAAAAATAGGAAAGGAAGAAGTCAAATTATCACTGTTTGGAGATGATAGGATCCTATAGCTAGAACTAATAAATACATTTGACAAGGTAACAGGTTCAAAATTAGCATACAAAAATCAAGAGCTTTCCTATATATACCAACAACAAATCTACTAAGAAAGAAAAGAAATTGGAGAAACCTAGGAATAAATCCTACCAAGGAGGCAAAAAACCTCTACAATGAAAACTATAGAATGTTGAAGAAAGAAATTGAAGAAGACCTCAGAAGATGGAAGACCTCCCATGTTCATGGATAGGCAGAATTATTATCGTTAAAATGACAATACTACCAAAAGCTAGGCTTTTTAATTTGATGCCATCCCATTGCAATCCCCATCAAAATACCAATTAAATTTTTCATAGAACTAGAAAAAGCAGTCCTAAAATTCATTTGGAAGAATAAAATACCCAGAATAGCCAAGGCAATTCTGAGCCAAAAAAGCAATGCTGGAGGCATCATAATACCTGACTTCCAATTATGCTACAGAGCTATAGTAATAAAAACTGCATGGTACTGTCATAAAATCAGACAATAGACAAATGATACAGAATAGAAGACCCAGAGACAAACCCACACATCTACAGTTATCCGATCCTTCATAAAGATCCCCCAAATATAGCTCTGTGGTAGAGTGCCTATGTATGAGGCATTGGGTTTGATCCTCAGCACCACATCAAAATAAATAAAGATATTGTGTCTATCTACAACTAAAAAAATATTTTAAAAAAGGATCCCAAAAACATACATCAGAGAAAGGACAGCCTTTTTAATAAATGGTGCTGGTTGTTCATATGTAGAAGAATGAAACAACACCCTTATCTCTCATCCTACAAAAAAAAATCAACTGAAAATGGATTAAAGATCTAGGAATTAGACCAGAAACTATGCAACTCCTAGAAGAAAATGTAGGGTTAACATTCCAGCATAGAGGCACAGGCAACAACTTTCTCAATAGGACCCCAGAAGCTTAGGAAATAATGTCAACAGTTGATAAATGGGATGGCATCAAATTAAAAGGTTTCTGCACAGCAAAGGAAACAATTAGGAATGTGAAGAGAGAACCCAGAGAATGAAAGAAAACTTTGCTAGCTACTCTTCTGGCAGAGTGTTAATATCTAGAATACTTAGAAAAGTCAAAAAACTTTACACCCAAAAAATCAAATAACTCAATTAATAAATGGGCAAATGAATGAAACAGACACTTCTCAAAAGAAGAAATACAAATGGCCAATAAATGTATGAAATAATAATGTTTGACATCATTAGCAATTAGGAAAGTGCAAACCAAAACTACCCTGAGATTCCATCTCACAGTAGTCAGAATGACAACCATCAACAATATAAATAATAATAAATGCTGGAGAGGATGTGTAGAAAAAGGAACACTTTTAAACTCTTGGTAGATTGTAAATTAGTTCAACCACTGTGGAAATCTGTATGGAAGTTCCTCAAATGACTGGGCATGAAACCACCATATGACCCAGCTATATCACTTCTCAATATTTATCCTGAAGAATTAAGTCATCATACTATAGTGATATACGCTTACTCATGTTTATAGCAGCACAATTCACAATAGCCAAATTATGGAACCAGCTTATGTACATTAATGGACAAATGGATAAAGAAGATGTAGTATATATACATAATGGAGTTTTACTTAGCAATAAAGAGAAATAAAATTATGTCATTTGCAGGAAAATGGATATGTCTAGAGACCATTATGTTAAGCAAAAAAAGTCAATCTCAGAAGGTTAAGGGTCATATATTTTCTCTCATATTCAGAAACTAGAGAGAGAAATGGAAAAGAAACAAGAGGGGATCTTATGAAAATCAAAAAGAGATAAGTAGAGGGATGAGACCAAGGTGAGGGAGGTAGGGAGGAAGGAGGAACTGGGGGAGGGAGTGATATTGACCAAATTATATTGTTATAATGTGTATTGTGTGTATGTACAAATATGTAACAACAAATCCTGTCACTATGTACAACTATAATGCACCAATAAAAAATGTGGGAAAGAGAAAAAAAGACTGGGGATGTAGTTCAGTGGTAGAGCACCCAAGAAAGAAATTTAGTGTTGGAATTTCCAATATTGTCATTAATGCTTTTTCCTCAGTTGATGTGAATCAGGATTCCTATAAGGTCCACTACAGCACTTGGTTGTTATGTTTTTAAGTCTCTCTTTTTTGACAAGTTCATTTATTAATTTTATTTCTTCTTCTTAAATATACATGATAGAATGTATTTTGACATATTATACACACATGGAATACAACTTATTCTAACTAGGATTCCATTTTTGTGGTTGAACATGATGTAGAGTTATACTGGTCATGTATAACTTGGTGGATGCGATTGATAAGGAACATAGGATCTTGACAACTTCACTGAGATGTAATTCACATACATAATTCAAGATTTAAAGTGAAATCAATCTTGTTTCATCTATTTTGCCATCCACTTCACCTTTCTCGAATTATTTAAAATTTCTTTAAGATATAATTGATATACCATATAATTCATCTTTTAAAAGTGTACATTATTTGGTGGTTTTTAATATATTTAAAAAGTTTTTAATATATTTACCATTGTGATTCAGTGATTTTTAGCATATTCACAAGGTGGAACACCCATCAGAAGTCTATTTAATTTGTAGATTTCCTCCTCTAAATTTCTTTTTTTCTTTCAATTTATTTATTGAAGAAACTTGCATGTTGTTGAATTTCTGTAGTAAACTTTGCTGTAGCATCTTTTAACATTCCTTTGTATTTCCTATAAATTGGTGTTGTATCTAGATGTCTGATGAGACTCAGGTTAAATTATTTTCTGCAAGATTTTCATAGTCATGTTTGTGTTCTTTTTTATTTTTTGGCAAAGGGGATTGAACCAGAGGCACTGAACCACTGATCCACATTTTCAACCCTTTTTAATATTTTATTTAGAGACAGGGTCTCACTGAGTTGCCTAGGGATTTGCTGAGTTGCTAGGGCTGGCTTTGAGCTCCCCACCCTCCTGCCACAGCCTCCTGAGCCGCTGGGATCACAGGTGTGTGCAACCACAACCTGCTATGTCTCGCCTCTCATTATGTGAGGTTAGCAGTGGTTAAAACTCAATGGGTAGATCTCTTAAATTTATTAGGGGCTGCAAAATGGTGGTATTCTATCAACCCTTGTTTATTTACTGTTTGGAATATTCCTATAAAAAGAACAATGTTATTCAGCTACACCTTGGTTATTGAGCGGTATAATTTCTTAATTTTGGTTTTCCTATCTTAGAGCCATAGGTCTATTTCTTTCAGGTCTCAAACATTTTCCTAAGCAGTGCTATGGGGAAATGTTCATGGTAACTTAATGGCTACGTACAGTACCTCTCTTTCCTGCAGAAACTGAACATAGGAAAATAACCACGCGGCGCCTGAAGGTGGCGATCTAAAACTTGTACATCAGGGTCTAAGGGTATTTGCCCTCAGCTTCGGCAGAGTTTCTCCCTTTTTCTCCGCAACACGTAAGGTTCTCTGATGTGAAACACCACGGGAGAAAAATCCATCAGATCCAAGAACCTCAAAAAGTTTTGTTTGCCTTAAGGAATTTATATGCTTTTTCCTTATTCGAAACATCGGTCTGTGTTTTCCCACTTGGAATTGCGCCCCCTAAATTCAAAGCCAAATTTTCTGTTCAATTTTGGAACAATAGGAATTTCTGATCTGCATATCTATATCTTTCTTCGATCTTGGTCATCCGTACCTGTTCCTGTCATTTATTTCACATTCTAATTCTTATTGTACACATTCTAAGCCGATTAACATTTTCTGCGAGCAAGAAGGGGTTGATTGAACAAAAACATTTACATGGCCATCAGTCATCTATGAGGATATCTTTTTCTTGGCACATACCGCCGGGTGTCATTTCAAAAAGCCTTTCCAATGTGATAAACCAGAACATGTTTCTCATCAGGGTTTTAATTGCTTCTATCATTACTGGTAAGACTGAACATTTTCCCATGTTTGTTAAAAGGTTTAAAGCTGTTTGCTTGGGATGTGGCTTATATCGGGATTAGTTCAGCTAGTCCCATGGAAAGACAAGACAAATGATGAAACCCAGGAATATCTCGTTTTTACATTCAAGCTTCGACTCCGCCCTGAGTTTTCCTCCCTTTCCCAGCGAGCCCTTTGTGTGTGCCAACAGTCAAGGGATGGGCTCTTCATCTGTAAACCTGGCAGCAAAGTGTGTCGCCCACAAATATGTGCATTATGTGCATTGCCTGCTTCTGAATGCAATGTTTATGGCAAAGAGTTCCCGAGTCCTAAACATGTCTGGAGAACAGCGGTCTCCGGGAGTCTTTAGGCAGGCGTGGCCTCGTTCATTCGGGCTTCGATTGGCCCGCCTGACCCGCAGGAGTCGAGGCTACGCGGGCTTGCTCAGCGCGGTGGATGCGATTGATAAGTGGCTGCTTCTGTCTTTCTCTCCCCACACTTTTTTTTTTAGCCATAGCTATGGTTACCACGTCTCTCTCCGCCTCCCTCCACCTACCAAGAAGACGACTGCCCATTGGCGCTCTGTCACCAAGGTCGTTAGTCATTGGTCCCTGGTGAGACCGGGCGCTCCCCCTTTCCCTGTCTCCCCGGTCTCTTGAGGAGCCCAGGAAGAAGGCTCCGCTGGTGCCGGCGGGTCAGGGACTGCCGGGACCAGGCTGCGGCAGTCGTTAGCGGGTCATGTCGGCCGCCCAGGGATGGGACAGGAACCGCCGGAGGGGAGGAGGAGCGGTCGGCGGTGGCGGCGGAGGTAGCGGGGCCGGCGGGGGCAGTGGGGGCAGCGGGGGTCGGGGGACTGGCCAGCTCAACCGCTTCGTGCAACTCTCCGGGCGGCCGCACCTGCCAGGTGAGTCGTGGGACTGGGTCGTGACAGCTTGCGGGTGCGGCGGGAAGGTGACTGCTCCCCTGTCTTTTCTCCCCGGCTTTCTTTTCCTTGGGAGAAGGAAAGGGAGGCCCCCACGCAAAGCAGAGAGAATGGGAATCAAAGAAAAGCAAAGGTGTCTTTGAGGTCAGGGAGGGAACGGGAGCACAACGAAGAAAAGTATTTTTTGCCCTGTCAGAAGCTTTCTGCGGAGAGTTCTGTCTCCTTCCCAAAGAGAGATCACTGTCTCGTTGACATTCCCAAATGTTTCGCTTACTCGGTTCCCAATCTCTTCCCCTTCCGCAGTTTGATCTTGTGAAAGAAAGACTTTGGCGCCTAGCTGTGGAATATTATGTCAAAAAAGAGTGTTAATTAAGGAAAAGAGACGGAAGAGCATTCCAAGGAGCGGTTTTGTTACACACACGCTCACACACAAAACAAAAAACCACCCATGTGTGTAAGAGTTGGGTATCTGAAACAGAAGAAAAGAGTATGTGTGTGGTGGGGGCGGGAGGGGGCTTGTTGTCTAGGGAATGTATGGGAAAGAGAACCAAGGGGATTAGGGAAAACTAGTTGAATTCTTAATATTTTGAAATGCCCAAAGATAGAACGGATAATAGTGTGTAGATTTTAAAGGAGGAAAACGAAAATCGAGAATATACTTGGTGACAAAATTTTGCTTTGTCTACGGTATAAAAACAACTGAGAATTGGAAAAATGTACCCAATACAATAATTTCGCGTTCTGGCGTGTAGTACCTTATCTTTGAATTGAAATGTCTTAAAAAACAAAACCAGATCAAGTTATTGCATGTGTGTAGACAGTTTTAAAGAGATCCATTTGTGAGTATTCCACATAATAGTAAGAAGGTATGGAATTGAATGATCACAGACTGTCAAATGTGATATCGGGCAAGCTTATTTTTACCAAGAGAACTGTTAGGAATGATGTTGTTAATCATTCACCATGTTTTTTTGTGAATCATGTTGAAATTTATTATATCAGTGATATGTTTGTTTTGCTGATGAGTTTTGAGAACATGATGGTTTTTTATTTGTTTGTTACTGTGCCTTGTATTTCAGTGTAGTTAATGATTAATTTGAAGATAACAAAGGAAATTTCACACATTTCAAAAGATAATTGCCTGTGTTTATGATAGTGTTATTGATGTGTTCTAGAAATGTACATTATTCCATTTCTTTGTGCCATTGAAATTAAATTGAGGCATTGGTAAATAGTCAAATATATAAAATACCAGGAGTTGGGCTGGAAGTGTTAGTATCAGATGGGGCATCCAGAATTGCCACATATGCAATCTTTAACATGGAGAAGAAGAAAGAAGTAATCTTTTTTCTTATTCCAAATTAATAACAAAACCTGAATTTTGAGTGTTGTAGCGTAGAAGATAAATATCTTGGCAAGGACTATTATCAGCTTGCCCTCTACCACTGCAATTTGTATTTCTTGGGTCATGGATTAATTATTATACAGTGGGTTTAATGTGGGCATCAGGTCTTTTAGAACCTGATTGGTGCACTTCCCCACTGCCACCATCTGAGGGCAGTGGAAGCCATGATTTCAGATAAGGCCTTAGGTGTGGAACTATTTCTGCATTCTCTTAGCACACAAGGCCAAAAACAGCTATTTGTCCAGAGGTAAAGATAAAATGTGTCCAAACTGTGAAAATTAGGAAAGTGGGGTCATCAGTCTCTTCTTTCTGCTTGCTTTTTCCTAACTGATACTTCATTTCTCCTTCCCTGTGGCCGTTTTTCCCTCATTCTCAAAATCGGGGAAATATCTGATATCTCAATATACACCTTGAAATTCTTTCATATTAATTCTTATTCTCCAAGGTACTACATTTTTCAGCCTTCTTACTTTTTCTTTGTATTCTATTTTGAGGTATTTCAAAAGATTTTGGGTGGTGGGGAAGAATAGGAATGTCTAGGCTTATTTTATGGCCGACCCTGGAGGTATAGCTTTTTTTTTTTTTTTTTTTTTTTAAATCACTGTAGGTAACTTTCTGTCTCCTTTAATTTCTAGTCCCATTTGACATTACTCATCCTTCTTTACCAAGATTTGTACACATTGGAGAAACCCTTTCTCTTCCTTTTTGCATCTCTACCCTATATCCAGCTCTCCATGAAACAAAACAGCATGGTCTTCATGGCGTGTACTTCTTTTCAGTGATACCCTCTTTGTCCATCCAATTATGCAAACCTGAAACTTGGGCAGCCCTGCTAATATTTTCCTCTCCCTCGCATTTCAGGCGTCATTACTCAAATTCCCTCATTTTAGGTCTCCCACAGTAGATTTCTAAGCAATCTCCCTGCTTCTGCTTTTGCCTTCCAGTTCAAATAGCATATCAATATCTTCACACATACACACACATGCACGCACGCACGTGCTTGTGCTATTTATGTAAAAAATGCAGTTTTATACATGCAAATACGTCACACTCATATAGATTTTAAAATTCTAAGTACATTGGCATTATATATAAGACATTGGGACTAGTGAATTTGATCTATTAGTTTGGTTCAGTTCCTATAGCCCCACTAACTCTGGACAAGCAGATAAAGTCAAGTTTTTTAGTGTGTAAAGTTGTGTCGACTCTGCATCCATTGTGAAAGCACAAACAATATTTTGTGAAGCTGAAACCTCCTTGCCTTTCTGCTCGTATATTAAATACAGTGGTGTTGATGTATTTGCCCCATAGACTAAGAAATTAATAGCTTCTTAGTCCTGGATAATTAGAAATCTCTGTGCACCCAGTAAGGAACAGGGAACAGTGCTTTTGTAGAATAGTATGCAGAGGGCAAGCAAGCTCAGAAGCAAGAAAATCGTGGGCTAATTGAATCCATGTTCCTATTATAATTTAACTGTGTGGGTTTGATTAAATGAAATATATTAGTTGAGAAAACAATTAAAAACATAATGGCAAACATAGGAAATGGAATACTAGCAAAGAGGAAGAAAATATAACAATTTGTAAAGCTGTGAAAAAATAATACCAAAATCATAAGTAATGTCTAAAATTCAAATGGTACAAAACAGCATATGGTAAGAGGCAAGTTTCTTTCTACATTTGACCTTAGCTAATTGGCTTCCTTCCCTAGAAACAAGCAATGATAAATTTCCTGTGTATTTTCCGGAATGGATGTGTGTGTGCCCGCGCGCGTAGATAGGAAGACTAAGATTTCTTTGTTTGGATGGGCATTTAAAATGTTAACAGTCTTGCTAAGACAGACAGTGATACAATGAATGTGCCTGTATGTATAGAATTTTGCACATAGTCTGAGTCTACGTTTAGGATAAATTCCTAGAAGTATAATTGCTGGGTCAAAATATAGTGTGTACTTTGATAAGATACCATCAAATTGCCCTCCATAGAGGTTGTGCCAGTTTATGTTCCACTGTCAGTTTTAAGAATGCTGGTGGCTTCCTTGTTCCCTTGGTAATGGAGTGGTTGTTAAACCTCCCCCCCCCCCCTTTTTTTTTTTTTTAAATAACCAGTTTAATAGTTTTCTTATCCATATTTTCAACAAGTATAAGAGCCATATTTGCCTTTATTTATAACGTCTCTTTATATTTTCTTATCCATTTCTTTTTTTGTTTTAAATGGAAATTTTACTTATTGTTTGATTGAAATGAGGTCTTGCTGTGTTGCCCAGGCTGTCTCCAACTCATGGGCTCAAGTGATCTTCTGCTGTAGCTTCCTGAATAGCTGGTACTGCAGGTGCGTGCCACCATGCCCAGCTTTTTATTCATTTTTTTTTCTTTCACTGAAAGGTTTTCTGTTGCTTATAGGAATTCTTATGTTTTGAGGAAATTAGTTCTCAGTTTTTAATATGAGTTGCAGATATTATACACGAGTTTTTCATTTGTGTTTTAACCTTGTTTGTGTATATTTTCAGCACAAATTTTAAAATGTAGTTAATTTTTTTAATATTTATTTTTTAGTTTTAGAGGCACACAATATCTTTATTTTTATGTAGTGTTGGGACCGAACCCAGTGCGTCATGCATGCTAGGCAAGCACTCTACCACTGAGCCACAACACTGCCCCAAAATGTAGTTAAATTTATCAGTGTTTTTTTACTTTCTAAAGTTTTGTATCATAAGAAAGATACAAATTCCAATTTGTATCTTTTCCTATTCCAATATTATTTCTAAAAATTAAAATGAATATTCTTATTGTTTTCCCTTGGTACTTAGATAATTTTATTTTTAAGTTAGATGTATCATCCGTACAAATATAAGTTAAGTATTGGGATAGGAATCCAATCTTTTTTTCAGGTAGCTACCTAGTTATCCCAGTATCCTATATTAAATGATCTCACTTTTTCCTACTGATTTGAAATCTTGACTATACTTTATTCCTACATGTAATTTGAGGTTACTATTGGACTTTTATCTACTTCTCAGAATTCTAGAAGTTTTTCTTATTTTCCAGGAAAACTTAGAATTAGCTAATCATGCCCCTCATATCCTGATTTTTTTTTTTTTCCTTGAGATGGTATCTCACTAGGTTGCTCAGGCTGGATCCGTCTTGTTTGGGCTCAAATAATCCTCCCAAGTGCTGGGACCACAGGCACAAGTTACACTTGGTTACTCTGTGGGTATATTGCTGATGGCACATTATATTTATAGACTGATTTAGAAATAGTTGATATTGTTTTGAGGTCCAAGTTCAAGGACAGAGTGTATATTCATTTTTTTCTCTCCAAGTTAGCATTCCTCAATAACTTTTTTGTTTTTAATTTTAAGAGGCATCTTATTAGGTTGCCCAGGCATGTCTGGAACCCTCCCAGACTCAAATGATCCTTTTGCCTCAGCCTCCTGAGTGCTAGGAGTACAGGGCCTGTGCACTATACCCGTCTCCTCAATGACATTTAATGTTTCTTTTTTTCTCCACATATTTATACATTTATTTTTCCTCCATACATTTATGCATTTATTCTTTGGTACTTAATCTTTTTTGTT